TCCAGTTCAGTTTGTAACCAGAATGATGGAAAAAACTGAGCTCGTGAACCACTGTATTTACTTGATAATCTTCTCTCTTCTATTTTTTTTTTTTCTTTCTGGAACCTTTAATATTCAACTGTTCCATTCTTTATTTTCTAGGTGAATTTTTTTCTGGGGTTTTTTTTTGTATTTTCTGGAATGCATTGATTTATCTTCACCTTATCATCCTTCTGTTATATTTTGGATATTTTCCTATTCTGTTTTTTCATTTTTTTGACTTACTCCATTCTATTATCCTAGTCTTAGTTTATGAGTACAGTGTCTTCCCTTATCTTTCTGAGTTTATCATTTATATGAATGCTCTCTAAAACCTTTTTCTTTGGGTAGTTTTTAGAAAAACCTTCATTTCATGTTAAAGATTTCCTTCAGACACATTGGTTGTCTGTCATGCATGGAGAAGATGCAGAGAGGCCATTGGGAAGAGGCGGTGAGGGTGTGGGCAGGACTGTCCATGTCCCCATGATGAGTGACTGGATGGGCTCTTTCTGGGTTTTTCTCCACTGTTGGCACTTGCAGTCATTGTTCTGAGGGATTCAGCATCCCCAGAGAGCAGTCCTGTCTTTCCCTGAAAAGCATCAAGTCCGATGCAACATTCCAGCATCCAGAGGGAAGGATGTAGTGGCATCTCACCCTTCACCGTGGAGTGTCACTGTCCCTTTTCTCTGTAGGCCACTCTGCCTACATCTGTGCGTGGCATTCCTGGAGCTTCCTAGTGCACCCTTTCCCGAGAGTGACTTTGGTCCCATTGGGTGGGACAGGGGCAGTCATCTGGCCACAGAGGCTTGGGGAAGTGTCTCATTGGTTCCTAAGGACTCCCCACTGGGTTTCTGCCCTCAACCCTACTGGTCCCAGGGACCGCCTGGGACTCCAGGCACTGACGCTTCCGGAGCCTCACTTCTCATGGTTTGTCCCTAAAGGCACATGGCTGTCAGCGACTGCTGGACTCTGCTTCCCAGCCACCAGTCCTGTTTCTGTTGCTGCCTCTCTTGTCCTTTGCCATACGGATTTATCCCTTGTTTGTTCCTCAAGCGTGCAGAGTAGGGCTTCAGAAGGAAGCAGAGAGTATCATCTGCTCAGTGTGCCACGGTTCTCTCGAGTCCACCCACTGTGGTTCAAGAAGGCAGCTGCCTGGTCCACAAGGGAGGCGGCAGTAAGGACACTATCCTCCAAAGAAGAGAGGTTGCTAAATTATGGGCTCAGATCAGAAGCAGAAAAGAGATTAATTTGGCAGTTAAAATCCTGGACTGTGGCCCAGACTCCTACCCGTGTTGGCAGACATATTAAATTATCCTTTGAGCCTCAAAAAATGGGATAATGATGGGCTTGCCTTGTGTGTTTGCTTGAGCATCAAATGAGGAAACTGGCAGTGTTTAGCACAGTGTCTGATGCATAGTAAACTTTCCATATGTAATAGTGCAGTTACTGCTGTTATTTTTCTACTATTACCAAGTGATGGATCGGTGGTCTGGGATGAGGAAGGGCGTGTGTGTCTTCCCCCAGAGTGGGCAGAGAATAAGAGAATTGTTAGAAAATCAGAATAATAGACACCTCCCAAACACCCTTAGGGCTTGTTCCCAGCTTCCCCACCCAGGGTGCCACCCAGGACCCTGGCTCTGGGACAGACAGAGGGACAGGGGTGTCTCTGTCCTTGGTCCGCCTCTGGAATGCAGAGACTTGGCCCAGGGCCTAGCTGAGGGCGGGAGGGGAAGCTGAGCGCCTTAGCCAACAAGGCAAGCCCAGCATGAGAAGAGCCACAGAGAGGCAGAAAGATGGATCACCCTACAGATCAAGGGGTGCTTGGGAGAGAGGTGCCATCTCTCCAGGTTTGTCACACCTTCACCCACCCATCCTGGGGGTCAGGCAGTAGAAGAAGGAAGAGGGTGCATTTAGATGGCTACAGTGGCATCAGGGAAAAGTGGAACTTTCAGTCTCCTTCCTAGTCACCATGGCTCCAGGGCCATGTTAGAGGACAGTGGTAAAGGACACAGACATGGTGATTCCCTGCAGCCCTCACCAACCTCAGGGGAGGCAAACAGATGACAATCTGGATAACTAGTGCCCAGTCAGAAAGTCCTTGTGGGTGTCCAGGAAGACAGAGAGGGACACCAGCCTCATCTGGGATCAGGAGCCTCAGAGTTGCCTTCTGGTGGTCATTTAGGGAGCAGGATACTCTTGGTGGGCCTCAAGGCCCAGCCCAAGGTGGACAAGAGAGCTGGGTAGGTGAAGAAGTTTTGCAGGGCTGTGGAGGACTCCCCAAGCCAGTCCAAGTCTGCTGGCCTAAAAACCTGGGAGTTTTTTTTTTGTTGTTTTTTTTTTAAGACAGGGTCTCACTATGTAGTTGAGACTGACCTGGATGGAATTCACTATGTAGTCCAGGCTGGTCTCGAACTCACAGCGATCCTCCTGCCTCAGCCTCCTGAGTGCTGGGATTACAGGCATGCACTGTCACACCTGGCTACCAACAGCCTTTTCGGGCTGAGAAATGCTTTAGAGCTCCTGGCGAAAGGTCACATGGGTCACAAGCCTCTGCTCAGACATGGGGGGAACACCCCCCATCACTCCCCTCAAAGCTGTCTTGTGCCATGTCTTGAACTTCTCCCGGGCCTGGGACAGATGAGGGTGTGAGGGAGGGGCACATAGGTCCTTTCCCAGGTGGTGGGCAGCTGTGTAGCACCCCTAAGTTCCCCCAGTGTCTGCTGTAACCCAGTCCCGCTATCATTGAAACAGGAGGCCAAGGGGAGGCTGATGGCCATGGGGACCTGGGTGTGTGTCACAATGCAGAACCTGGCAGGGAGCCGGCCAGAGGAAGGAAGGGCCGGCCACTGGCCACCGTGTGACTTCCCAAGTAGACACTGCTATTTATACTTGAGGGCTTGGGACAGGCCTCCCGTCAATGAGGACATGGGGTGGTCCCAGGCCACAGCATCTACAGCCAGGCAGAGGAAAACTCCTGATGCCCCAGACCATATGTGGCCCTGACTCTGGAACTGGATCCTGTGGGGGTGCCCACATCCCCCAACCTCTCATGCACACACGATGGGCCCCTAGGTAGTTGTGCATAGGAGCGGCACTTTCAGCCACTCAACACTGGGTCCCAGCCAGAAATGGGGCTGGAGGTGGGTGAGCAGTTGTCAGGTGGGGCCAAGTGTCCATCCCAGGGAGAGGGTACCCCCATTCACACCCACAGTCCCAGCATGCCAGAGGGAAGGAGGGTGCCCAGACCAGGCTGCCCCACCACTTCTAGCGGACCCTGTACCTGTGTGCTGCCAGGGAACCCCCAGGCTCAGCAAGCCCTTGGGAATATGTCCTTGTCCTCACCAGACCTCGATGTTGTGGTTGTTATCTGGTGTTTGGAGTGAAGTATTTGAAGTTTGGCAGCTCAGGCAGTGCACATCATGGGCCCAGCGGCCAGGAAGATGGTAGATGGCTCTGAGCCCTGTGACATTGAGACGATCACTGTATGGTCTGTCTGGGCCATGAGGTGCCATGATGGTGTGTGTCAAGCACACGGGCCGGCCTTGGCATGGTCACCTAGGGCACAGGCACATCCCAAAGCAGCTGGCCAGCCCATGCCCATTTAGAGGCTCCAAGCTGGGACCCACAGGAGATTCAGGGGGATCCTCAGGTCCCTGGCAGCAGTGTAGTCTCCAGAGATTATTCACTACTCTTGGTGCAGCCTGGGGCCTCTCACTAGCCAGGGGCTGATACCCACAGACCACCCACTGCCCAGGTCCGTAGCTCCACGCTCTCAACGCCAGGATTCCTGGGTTTGAGCCCACCAGCCATGCCAGGGATGACACGCTCCTTCCTTCCCTCTTTCCCTTCCTCCCTCCTTTCCCTCTCTTCGTCTCTCCCACTCTCCTTCCCTTCTTTCTTTTCTTGCTGCTTGCTTGCTTGCTGCAGTTTTGGGATGGAACATAGGGTATCATGCATGTTAGGCAAGCACTCACCACTGAGGTACACCCCAAGCCCTTTTATATTTTATTTGGAGACAGGGTCTTACTTAGTTGCCCAGGCTGATCTAGAACTTGTGAACTTCCTGCCTCATCCTTCCAGGTGAACTAGGACAACAGGCATGCACCACCCACCGTGGCCAGCTTGACCTTGTTTCTTGACCCCAGCATCTCCCACAGCCTCACTACATCCTATGGTGTTTCCTCTTCTATTCTTGAGCCAGACCCCAGGGTGCGCTGCCCCTGTCCCTCCTCTCTCTGTGACCCCACCCTACTTGTCCCAGCCAGCACCCAATACTCAGCCTGCTCTGTCACTGCCTGCCCTTGGCCTCCCAGACCCGCTCCCTGGATGGGCCCCACATCCTTGTTGCCTTGCTGGCTCTGGCACTGAATGTCTGCATGGCTCCCCTCTCCCAGCTACTGCTGCCCCAGGAATGCCCAGGCCCTCTGCCATCCCTCCAAAGCTCCCCACCTGCTGTGGCATCTGGGTAGCCATATCTGTGACTCTGCCACAGTGGGTGTCTAAAATGGGCCCAAGCTGCTACCGGGGAAGCTGGTTAGGGGATAGGAGCAGCAGAGGTACCGCACAGTGGGGAAGTGGGCTGGGGACCCAGCTTTCCCATACAGGAGTGCAGACCCTGTTTGCCAGCCCTGCTATGATCTCACCGACTCAGCACCGGGGTCCAGGTGAGGGATGGGGGCTGGAGAATCTCAGAGCAGGGCCGCCCACAGGTGCTGGGCTGCACTGAGGAGGGGCTTCACCCACAAGGCCAAAAGTGTGGTGGGAAACAGCTCCACAGCTGGCACCGTTTAGCCAGGTGACAGTGCCAAGATGCGGGGGGAGAGGTCTGCAGAGTCAGGCTGGCACCAGGGAATCTCAGGCCTTTGTGCCCTCCCTGTCTCTCTGCCCTCCCAGCCCCACCAAGGCCTTTCCAACAGCCCATGGGCTGTCCTCCTCCCCCTGGGACAATAACCCCTCAACCCTTACTCCTGTTCCACCTCCAGCCATGGGGGAGGCACGTGCCTGGATGACCAACCAACAGCCACTGATACCATCGACTTCCCCTCCGTGCTGCCCGGGGTCCTGTATGACATGGACCACCAGTGCCGCCTCCAGTATGGGCCCAACTCCGCCTTCTGTAAGGACGTGGATGTAAGTGTGGCAGGGGACAGGAGGATGCAGGGATGATCTTCAGCAGTCAGGGATGCCAGCCAGGCAGAAACCCTGCTTGCCCCCCACCTCAGACAGCACTCAGACAGTAGCCCATGGGAAGGGCCTAGGTGTGGACTCTGGGTCAACCATCCCCAAGCTGTGGGGCCATGGGTGCCTCCCTCAGCCTCCTGCCACTGGCTTTGCACTCTGAAGTCCTGGGGAAGACTGCATGAGTCTCAACCATAGCCTGGCTTCTCGGTGTTCCTCCCAGAGGACAAGCAGGGCTGTCCACTTGGTCCAGAGGTGCGGGAGACAGCAGAGACAGGGTACCTCCGGAGTCATATCCGCAGACCCCCGTGGTGTGCCAGTCCATGGAACAGTGTCCAAGGGGCCCTTGGGGACCATGAGGAAGGTAGGTGTGTGGCCCTGGGACAGAAGTGAGGGTGTGACCATGCCTCCTCCCTACAGAATGTCTGCCACACACTGTGGTGCTCCGTGGGATTGACGTGTCATTCCAAGCTGGACCCCGCTGTGGATGGTACCCAGTGTGAGCATGGCAAGGTAGGGGGTGCTCCTGCCCCAGCTGTCGGGAAAGCTGATTTTCACTGGGCCTCTGCTCTTGGGTCACCCCTGCCTCATGGTCCAGCAGACCCCTACCCTTCTCTGGCCCAAGTCAGCAAGACAGAGGCCTTGGGGACAGGGCCCGATGCCATGATTCTCTAAGGTGCCTTCACTCAGAGTCACAAGTGGGCTCTTTCTCATCCCTTGCCCAGCCTGACCCTGGGTCCTGGAACATGTGCAACCATGGGGGCCTCTCACACCTTCTGTCTTTACCCACTGCCCACCCACTTTTATTCTCACTATGATGAGGATGATTGATAGGTGTGGGGGGTTGCTGTGACCCCATCTGTCTTGGCAGTGGTGTTTCAATGGAGACTGTGTCCCTGTGGGTTTCCGACCTGAGCCAGTGGATGGTGGCTGGTCCGACTGGAGCGCCTGGTCCGTCTGCTCACGGAGCTGTGGCATTGGTGTGCAGAGTACTGAGCGGCGGTGCACACAGCCTGAGTGAGTGGGGATCCCACTGCTGAGAAATTAGGGCAGTGCATCAGATGCCAGGGGTGTACCTGGCTGGAGGGTAGTTGGAGAGGGCAGTGATCAGCACTTGGCCACCAGACCTTGGAGAGCCCAGGGCTTAAGGCCACTCCACCCTACAGTAGAGGGCCTTCCTAACCCTGTTTCCCTGGTTTTGCCCACCTGGTATAGTAGCTTTCAGGGTGAATCCCATAGGCCATAAGGGTGCAGCCACCCTCAGCGCATCAGCAGTCCCATGTGGGTCTGGGGCAGGGCTGCTGCAGAAAGGGGTGGCTGTGTGACCTGTGGTGAGTGGTGGCCCCTCTGGACTTTCTCTTCTAAAGAGGACAATGAGAAGCCAGTGTGGCACTGGGCCAGCCAGATTTGAGACCCCGTCCTGCAGACATAGCCTGCCATGCCCCCACCTCCAGCAGAGTGGGCTGGACTCTGGCCTAAAGTAGTAGAGATGGGCATTGCCCCCAGGGGTGGCTGCAGACTCAGGGCAGGCTAGAGTGCTGAGTCTTGGGCATGTACTGGGTCAGTGCCTCCCATGTCCACTGTGTCCCAGCCTCTCCCAGCCCCCAGAGAGCAGGATGGGGGCTGCCTGGCCTGGGAGGTGGGGTCAAGCACTGCAAAACCCTGAGCATGGCCCATCCGCTCCTCACAGGCCCAAGTACAAGGGCAAGTTCTGTGTGGGTGAGCGCATGCGCGTGCGCCTCTGCAACCTGCAGGCCTGCCCCCAAGGCCAGCCTTCCTTCCGCCACGTCCAGTGCAGCCACTTCGACTCCAAGCCCTACAAGGGTCAGCTGCACACATGGATACCCGTGTTCGACTATGGTGAGTCCTCCACCCTGGGGACATTGAGCCCCTAGGGCTGGGGACATGTGGGTCTCAGTTTCTCAGTGATGAAGGTAGGTGGCCCAGTCATCACCCCTACTATCCCCAGAGCCCCACCCCCAGCACCCCTCCTAGCACCACACGTGGCCACTTGCCCACCTGGAGCCCCTCAGCCTGCTATGGCCACATGTCGAGGAGGGGTCTTCCTGATGGGCTCATGACCCTAGCCTGATGAGTCCCTGTTCCCCAGGGAACCCCTGCGAGCTGAACTGCCAGCCCTCCACCGAGCACTTTTCTGTGAGGCAGCGTGATGCTGTGGTCGACGGCACCCCCTGCTACAAGGATCCGACCATCCGTGACCTGTGCATCAACGGAATCTGCAAGGTGTGCCTGGAGAGTGAGAGTGGTGCCTCCCACCTGCCCCCATCCCCTAGAGGGCATCAGCTGCTCCTCTGGGTTCTTCCTAGCCCCATTCACCCCAGGCTGCACCCTTGGAGGTCCTAGCCTCTGCCCTCATGACCTCAAAGGCAAAGCCCCTCATCACCCCAGCACTGCAGAACCGCCTAGTCAGCCTCCCTGGCCTCCCTATCTGGACTCACAGCTGTCTGCCCTTCTGTGGCAGCCAGCCTAGTACAGCCCTAGCTGGGAACTGCAGCCCAGGCAGCATTCACCTTCTTGCTGGCTAGAGTATCCCAGGCAGTGGTTTCCTCCACCATGTGAAGGGTTAGAAAGTGGTATATAGGCCTTGAGCTGGCAAAGGAAGGCACTCGGTGTTCGGTAACAATTCCTAGTCTCATTTTGATTCCCAGACACCTCTTGCCCCTGCTTCTTTTGCTGTATGCCATTAGTGTGGAGGCCTGGCCTCCAAGGAGGCTGGTTGCTGGTACTGGGCCAGTGCCCTTGACAGCGAGTCTAGGAAACCCTTGTGTGCCTGCTCAGGAGCCCATGTGCCCACCTCCACCATTCTAAGGCTCACCACATGCCCCTAAGGCATGGACTGAACCCCACTTCAACTCGGGAAAAAACTCAAAGAAAGAGGGGTTCCTCCAGGGTTAGTTGGCACAGTGGGTAGGGAAGGTCAGCATCCAGCACCAAGGCCTTCGCTCCCACCGGCTGTTGCAGAGTGTGGGCTGTGACTTCGAGATTGATTCTGGTGCCGTGGAGGACCGCTGCGGAGTGTGCCTTGGCAACGGCTCCACCTGCCACACAGTGAGCGACACCTTCAATATGACCAGGGGCCAGGGTATGGATGGGACCACCATGGGGGTTGCACTTGATCTGGGAGCCTCTCCTCTCCTCCACCACTGGCTTTACTCTCAGCCCCTTCAGTCCCCCGCATACTGGAGAGGACAGAGACCTGTCTTGGGGTAGGGGATCATCCTGTCCCAGGGATCCCAGGCCAGCTGGCCAAACCTGAGTATGGTCCCAGTCCCTGCAGAGGGTGCCATCTACTTATGCAGAGACAGCTCCATGCCCTTGCCCTCGGGCCCCATTGCTTAAGTGTGACTCTGTGGGAGGTGATGGTGGTGTTCACAGTCTGACAGGGTGACAGCCTTCACTGTAACAGATCGGTGTAGAGATGTTCAGAGGGCTGAGGGAGCTCTCAGGGGAGAGGTCCTGCACAGAGAGGGCAGGAGGACTTCCTCTGAGAGGTGGACACAGCGGGAAGAGGAAGAACCCAGCCGGGGTGGTGAGTGCAGAGAGGAAAGCTCTTCGAAGCCTGGGGAAGAAGCGTGTTTGCTCTGCCTAGGCCCCAGGAGGCAGAATGGCTTGGGGCCTTGAATGCCAGGCCTATAGCTTAGCTTTCTTCCTGGAGGGGCAGCATGGCCGTGTGGTTACCACACAGCCCCGGTGCCTGCTTTATGTTCCAGCAACACTGTTGTGCAGGCTGCCTGCCCTCTCACGTCCCAGGCTCCAGAGTGGGCAGCTACAGTGGGTGATGATGGTGTTCTGTGATAGGCTTGTCTCCCAGAGCCTACAGAGTTGGGTCCTAGGAGGCACCCATCTGTGAAAGGCGCCTTACCCAAAGAGCAGCAGCCCTGCAGGGAGGAGGGAGCTGAACTGGGAGGAAGGCCCGGGAGTTTTAGAAGGCTTTCCAGGCCCAGAATGTAGGACATGGACCCAGCTAGATGACAGACAGACTGAGGTTTCCCAGGAGAAGGTCATAAGCGTGGGCCATGGATGCAGAGTTTGTGGGCCTCAGGAGGCTGTGGTGGCCCGGGATAGACCTGTCATCTGCCTTTGGGGAGCTCAAGCTTGAGCTAATGGTGAGCTCTAGTGAAGGGCCAGGGACAGCCAGCCTCCTGCCTGGTGGCCTGTGCATACCCCTGACCAACAGGGTACGTGGACGTGGGGCTGATCCCCATGGGAGCGCGAAACATCCACATTGAGGAGGTGGCCGAGGCCGCCAACTTTCTAGCCCTGCGCAGCAGTGAGGACCCGGACAAGTACTTCCTCAATGGTGACTGGATCATCCAGTGGAACGGGGTCTACCAGGTGGCAGGCACCACCTTCACCTACACCCGCATAGGCAACCGAGAGAACCTCACCTCCCCAGGCCCCACCAGTGAGCCTGTCTGGATCCAGGTGCTGCGTCCTGGGACCCACCAGGGGGTGCAGAGGTGGGATCCCCCCATGGCAGGGTGTGGCCCTGGGAGAACAGTCTGAGGCAGCACACAGCTGGCTCCGAATGGGGCCCTGCTGCCAAGTCCTCTGTGTCAGTTTCCCCAGTGCTAAAGTGGCCCCATAGAATAGTCTGTTGGCAGATGGAGGGGACCCCATGTGCTCACAGGGCTCTCCTATCTGCTCTAGCTGCTGTTCCAGGAGTACAACCCTGGGGTGCGCTATGAGTACACAGTCCAAAGAGAAACTAAAAACCTCAGTGAACCTGAAAACCTCATTGTGGTGCCACCACTGGAATTCTTCTGGCATCACGGGCCTTGGAGCGAGTGCACTGTCACCTGCGGCACAGGTGGGATGGGGCAGGCAGAGCCACCAGCTGGATGGTACTGGCTGATGTGAGGTGTGGACACTGGCTTAGCCTACACTGCGACCATGCACAACCCTCACACAGGCTTCGGGAGGTCGCACAATCACTCCCACCACACAAGCAACTGGGCCACACCCAGAAACGGCAGGGCAGGTGCCCACCCAGAACCCTCCACAATCTGTCTGCCACCTATCCTGGGTCATCTGGCATGGAGGCCGCAGCACAGTGGGAGGAAGGGAGGGAGCTCCCAATCCTGACACAGGCAGGCCCTGTTCTAGAGGTGCCTGGCCTTGGGGTGCAGGGGCAGCCTGAGTAGGGGCTCACCCATGTGAATCCCCAGGTATGCAGAGGCAGATCGTGTACTGTTCAGAGAAGCAGGCAGGGCTTGTGGATGAGAGACACTGTGACCCCCTGACCCGTCCCGATGACAACCACAGGACCTGCAGTGAGGAGCCCTGCCCTGCCCGGTGAGCTGCCCACCAGCTCTTGCTGTCCCGATCCCTGGAGGGAGGACCAGGCTCATGACTGAAGCCCCGGTTGTCTCTGGTCCTGGCTTCACCTAGACAGCCAGCTTTGGTCCAGACACCCCAGTCATTCCTCTTTGGGGCCCTAGATGTGGAAAGAGGCCTCGGGCCTTGTGCAGGTGCACTGGGGAGGGTGGCAGGGATAAAAGGGCTGTGTCCTGACACCGGGCTTCAGGGACAGAGACTCATCCTCTGGACCCCTGGCCTGGCCCTCCCCACTCGAGTCTGCCATTGCCCTTCCCACAGCATGCTGATACCACCCTGTGCCCTCAACAGGTGGTGGGCTGGGGAGTGGCAGCACTGCTCCCGCTCTTGTGGGTCCGAAGGTGTCTCCCGCCGGGCTGTGCTCTGCCTGCAGAGTGTGGGGATGGAGGAGCAGAGTGTCCTGGACCTATCCGCCTGCATGCACCTTCCTCGACCCCCTGCTGAAACCCCCTGTTACCCCAATGTGCCCTGCCCAGCCACCTGGGCTGTGGGCAATTGGTCTCAGGTGAGTGTAGAGCAGTAGGGGCCTGCCCTGGATGGGAGGTGGAGAACTTGTGAGAACCCTCATTGCCTGAGGTCTGGGGGGGACAGGAGGCCAGGGCATTCAGGGTTGTGCACCTGCCCTGAAGCCTCCGGCAGGGTGTGCCTGTGTCCTCTGGCAGCCCTCTGCTGTCCCCAGCCCTCACCATGGTCTCCCCGCAGTGCTCGGTGACATGTGGGAATGGCACTCAGCAGCGAATTACCGTCTGTACCAATGACACGGACCTCCCCTGCGATGAGGCCAACCGGCCAGCAACTGAGGCTCCCTGCTCCCTGCAGCCCTGCCTGAACATGCTGGTGGTCCTCGAGGCCTCCGGCAGTGGTGCCGCCAGCCCCGAGCTCTTCAATGAGGTTGACTTCTTCTCAAACTCCCTGACTGAACACCCCCTGCCTGACTCCACACCTGAGTCAGACAGTATCAGCAATCGCATCGAGGACCTGAACCCACCCGGGCCGGTTTGGGTGGATGACTTCTACTACGACTATAACTTCATCAATTTCCATGAGGACCTGTCTTATGGGACCCCTGAGGAGCCCAGCCCAGACCTGGAGGGCACCAGGGAACAGATGCCTCCGCCCCAGAGCAGCCCTGCTGAACACCCCATGGAGTCACCCAGAGCCGAGGAGGGGGCAGAGCAGGGAACTGGCCACCCCTCACCCCCATCCTTGCGGCAGCTCCCTGGGAGCCTACTGGTCCCTTCCCTGTCTGAGGAAGATGCCCCCATGGGTGCCCCTGGCTTTGGGCTCCCTGTTTCAGTCAGAAGCACAGAGATACCCACTGCCCCTGTGAGTCCCAATGAGCTCCTAGTTAGGGGGGACAACCAAAGCCAGCCATCCCCTCCACAGTGGGATGGGGCCAATGACATCTTCAAGGACAGGGAAGAGACCACAGGCCGCAGAGCACCCCACCTGCCCCAAAGCCCTCGCCCCATGCAACCCCCTTGGCCTCCTATCCACCCCACCCCCATCTTTCCTGACCCTGTTGTGCTGCTGCAGACAACAAGGACTGTGACCTGGGACCCCACGCCAGAGAGGGGCACACATGGCGAGATATGGCCCACAGCAGGGGCGGATGCTTCCTCTCTTCCCACCACCCCTGTGCCCCTGACCAGGGACCAGTACAGCCCCCTGACAGTGACAGGAACCATCCCTCCGATGCCTGAGGAGGGCAGCTCCACAGACCGGTCCACCAGGAACGCCAGCTGGCAAGTGGGGAACTGGAGCCAGGCAAGTGCTGCAGAGCCAGGCTGGGTTCCTGTCCATCTGCTCCCAGGTGGACAGAGATCCCATGGTGGATGAAGGCTCCCTGAGGCAAGCAAAGCCTTGTCCCAGCCTGGGGCAAGTTTCTCCTCTGAGCAGTGAGTGGAGAAGGACCCATCTGCCTGTTTCTTAAGTCTCCAGAGGCCCATTCCCAAGCAACATAGGGCTGTGAGGATGGCAGCAGCAGGCACCAAGAAATGCAAGCTTTCATGCTGTCAGGGACAGGGAGCTCACCTCCGACTACGGTGTGGAGGGGGATCTGTAGATTGGCCACCCGGCAGCCTCAGTGGCTCCACTACTTTGTCAGGAACCCACAGAGGATGGGAAGGAGCTGCCCTGAGGGCCCTCCCAGGTACCCAGATTGTCACTGCAAGAGAAACAAGGGCCTGTGTCCAGGCCCCAGCCTTGAGGAAGGGACAGGCTGGAGCCAAGAGCTGCCTTTGCCTGGGGTTTCTGGCAAGTGAGCTGCCAGGACCAGGACCCAGACATACTTTCCTAGAGATTCCGAGATCAACAAGCCCTGCTGGTAGGGTGGTGGGCTGGGGTCCCTGCAGGTCCCTCGTGGACAGGGTGGGTGGCAGGATTCCGCCCCTTTTTCATCCCCAGTAGAATGGTGGAGGAGTCCATCTTGCACATAAAGTGGACCAGGGCCCAGGACAGGAGCAGCTTCACCAAGTGGGTCGTTCCCCTGGCTGTAGGAGGCCAGGGATTGGGGATCTGCTTGATGTTCGTGGTCTCTGTGCCCACAGTGCTCCACCACCTGTGGCCTGGGTGCTGTCTGGAGGGCGGTGTACTGCAGCTCTGGCCGGGATGAGGACTGCACTGCCGCTGGACGGCCCCAGCCTGCCCGCCACTGCCACCTGCGGCCCTGTGCTGCCTGGTACACAGGCAACTGGAGTAAGGTGTGTGTGGGGAAAGCCAGGGTGCAGCCCCAGGTGCAAGGTGAGCCCCTGCACCTCACGACCAGAGTTCAAGAGCAGCCAGGCAGGGCCTCCACACACATCTGTGAACTGATTGGTTCACTCCTGATGTCTTTGGGATCTCTTCAGTTTCAGCATGACCCAGCCCAACGACTGCTCCTGCGGACATCTCCGCTCCCAACTCCTGGATTTCCCCTTCGCCAACTCTCCTTCACCCCCTTGTCCATCTGTCCCAGCCTGTGGCAGCCCTAGTCTTCCACCTGTTGCCTAGGGCTGGCCACTCCCAGTCTCTCCTTGGAGTTTTACCTTGTACTCGGTGGGGATGGGGTTTGTTATCTGCCCAGCCACTCTCACCAGTTGTGTGCACAGGTCCTGGGGCCCCTGGTTAGAATGTGTGAATGCTCTTGGGTTCATTCACACTTGGGTTGTGTGTGTGTGCATATGGGCAGTGTGCCTGGGCTTATGGGTTATAAATGTGTGTATGAATGTAGGGAGAGTCCACAACTGCGTCCCTGGGCTATAAGCATATATATATATACTTAGTGTGTCACGCACCTGGACCTGGGACCTGGGCTGAGTGTGGACGTGCATGAGGTGTGACATGTTCCTGGGCCCCAGGATTATGTGTGTGTGGGCATAGGGTGTGTCCACACCCCTTCCTCCACCTCTGGGTCGTAACTGCATACACCTGTGCTGTGTCCACGTGTCCCTAATCCGAAGTATATTAAGCACACCCATGCATGTAGGCAGATGTATCAGTACACCTGTTCCTGGGCCCTGGGTGTACACGTGGGGTGCATCCACGTGTGTCTCTGGGCACCCGCGTTATGTGCTTGGTGTCCCTGTCTCCTAGTGTTCCCGCAGTTGTGGTGGAGGCTCTGCAGTACGGGATGTGCACTGTATGAATACACAGGACCTCCGGCCACTGCGGCCCTTCCACTGCCAGCCTGGGCCCACCAAGCCACCCAGTCACCAGTCCTGCGGGACCCGTCCCTGCCTAAGCTGGTACATCTCCTCCTGGAGAGAGGTGAGAGGGCATCTGGGGTGGACCTGGTCCTCCTGAAGTCCCAGCCGTGCTGATCCAGCTGTGCTGACACCTCCCCTCCTTGCCAGTGCTCTGAGGCCTGCGGTGGTGGCGAGCAGCAGCGTCTGGTGACTTGCCCAGAACCGGGCCTCTGTGAGGAGGCACTGAGACCCAACGCCACTCAGCCCTGCAACACCCACCCCTGCACAAAGTGGGTGGTGGGGCCCTGGGGTCAGGTGAGTTGGGCTGCAGGGAGAGGGAATGAGCTGGAAGAATGAAGTGCAGGGTGTGCAATGGCCAGGTGCCAGGAGACCAGGGAAGCCTGGGAAGGAGGAGCCTTAGGGATTTAGGTTGAGAACCAGCAAAGGGTCAGAAATGCCAAGAGGTGGGGACAAAGAGACAGCAGGTGAAGCCAGAGACCGTGGGACAAGAGGATAGAGAAGGGCCCCTGGTAGGCAGAACTCCTCCCTCTTGGACCTGTCTGGAGCCTAGAGGTTCAGGGATCTCAGCTTTGCCTCTGAACCAGGACTTGAGGGCAGCAGGGCATGCATTCAGGACCTGGTCCCAGAAGCTGCTGATTAACTAGCAGTGCTTTTGCCTCACTGGATCACGTTTTTCCCATCTTAAAAATTGGCATGGAGTCGGGGAGGAGGGAGGGAGATATAAATGAAGTAGCACAATTAAGTACAAGGCCCACCCAAGTCAGCATAGGTGAAGCTTGTTATCTGGGCTTTTCCAAACACTGGGTCCCCAGCTGATGGAAACAAAATCCAATTCAGGAGGAGGCGCTAGCCCAGAAACTGCTTTCCTTTTCTGCTCCCCTCTGCTACTCTGGGGCACTGGTTCTTATCCAAATCTCTGGCAACTCTGCCAGGCCTCAGGCAGGATAGTGTGGGGGCTCTCTCCCTTGCCCATTTCCCGTGTGGGAGCAGATCCTGCTGTGCACACCCCACCCACCTCCACTGGCCACCCCATGGAAGCTGCTCAGGCCCAGGGCACTGCCCGGGAAACCCACGCTCCCGTGAGGTCTGGTGCCAGGCCTCTCTTCCCCTCCTGCACAGTGTTCAACACCCTGCAGTGGGGGCATCCAGCGGCGCCTGGTCAAGTGCATCAACACGCAGACAGGGCTGCGTGAGGAAGACAGCAACCGGTGCAGCCATGAAGCCCAGCCCGAGGGCTCCCGGCCATGCAGCGAAAAGGACTGTGAGCTCACAGGGTCCCCACGTGAGTGTCCCCTCTCCCAGATCTCGACTACAGGTGGGGTGGGTGAGGACCATGGGGAAGCCATCTTCTCAAAGCATTGCCGGGCTCCCTCTATAGTGTGGACTCCAGAGCCATACAGCCATGATGATGGGGAGGCAGAAGGGGCTCTATGCTGGAAACCAGCCCCCCTAAGGGGGCTGCTCAGCCAAGCCAGTGATCACAGGCAGCTTCTCCAGCAGCAAGGGAGTGGGGGTGAGGGGCCCTGAAACTGTGTGAGACCCTTTTACCTCCTGGGAAAGCCGGGAATGTCCCAAGGCCCTCCATTCCCAGCTAGCCGGATAAGGAAGCCAGAAGTGAGCAAAGGGACTACAGGAAGGGCCTCCCCCAGCATGCTGCTGGCTTCCTGGCCAGCTGGGTCCTTTGGGCAGGCAGAAGGGCCTGGGCCAGAGGTGGCTCTGGACCCCAACCCCCTACTTCCTTCCTGAGCCTCAGCTGCCCCCAGCAGTGCTGACTGAGCACAGGAAACCCGGTGGCCCTAGACTCACACCTACACAAATGGGGTCTGGAGTGAAGGTCCATCTCTGCAAAGCACCTAGAAGGGTCACCAGGCTGGGTCTGAAGGTCTCTGAGGCAAAAATAAGGAACCTATCCCACCCTTGTAGACAGTTTCCTTGACTCTGTCATGAGAAAAGAATTTTTAGGACTCCTCAGTAGGAGGCAAGAGAAAGGTTTATTAGATGGAGATTTTAGGATGCACTCAAGAGTGAAGTACGGGCAATGCACCAGAACTGGGTATATTTAAGGGTGTCTTTGAGATGGGTTATCTAAGGTATATATTCTTTTTTTTTTTTTTTAATTGGTTTTTTGAGACAGAGTCTCACTATGTAGTTGAGACTGACGTGGAACTCACTATGTAGTCCAGGCTGGTCTCGAACTCACAGTGATCCTCTTGCCTCAGCCTCCTGAGTGCTGGGATGGATTACAGACGTGCGCCACCATGCTCAGTTAAGGTATAAACTCACAGCACAAGCCATCTACATTTCTTCAGAGTTGAGATGTGTGTCTACCAGTACTGCAGCTTCCTTGGGGGAGTGAAGGAAGCACAATTTATGAGTGAAAAGGATAGGTCCAGAGCTCAGATTTACAGGCTTATTGTGTCTTTAAAACCTTTGGGATTTTTTTTTTTTTTTTTTTGGAGTAAGTTTCTTGGAAGGAAAAAAGGCTTGAGTAACTTTTGTGTTTTGAAGATGCAGTTAAGTACAATTTTAAAATCTCGATTTGTCTCCTTTCTACCTAGTTTTTGTATCTTCTAAGGGACGTTCAGAGTAGGTGACTTCCTTTTTGTGGCAGCCACTGTGGTCCTACATTGTAGTCAGGGAAAACCCAGGACCACCTGTGCAGCAAGGGAACAAAAGTGCGGCATCCCATGCACAGAACAGCACTCTTGCCTACTAGCTGTCCCTGTCCCCAGGACTGAACTCCTTTGTCCCACATATGGGAGTTGGGGTCCACAGGGAGTTGGGTGGTGAGGACCCAAGAGGCAGCAGGAATTAGGAACAAGCCTGGCTTGGGGGGACTGGGCTTCACAGTCTCCGAGGCACGGTGGGCTGTAGGGGGGACCTGCAGGGCAGGGAGGTGGTGGAGCAGGCAATGCTCCCAAATGAGTTCTCTGCCACAGTGAAGATGTCCTGGGGAGGTATTTTGAGCTCTGAGACCCCTGAAATTCCCAGGATGCTAGGATGGCTGTGTGACTGTGGCAGGACATTTGGAAACCCTGGGACCTCGGTGTGTGTGGTCACCTTGCTTGCCAGTGGAGGAAACAGGCCTGAGAGGCTAAGAACCTTGCCCAGATCCTTAGTGGACTAGAAATTAGGTCTGCAGAGCTCCAACCAGAGCAGGATGGGGTGCCTGCATTCCATGGGCTCAAGTCTGTGGTTAGCAAGGTGGGAGGCAGCTGGGGGCCATCAGCAGCACAGGAAGCAAGATCTGAGGCCTGGAGGCCACGTCCCAAAATAGATGCCTCAGGGCAGGAGGGTCCCCAGCCCTAGTCCCTGAAAGCAGCCTACAGCTCCCTCCCCAGTGCTCAGCTTGAGTGTCCCCTTATAGTTAGGTGGGGATCCTGGGGTGCTATTTCCAGGTTCTTGGCGTCCCAAACAAAACTGAGCAGGACAATCAGAAGGAACAAGAGTAAGATGTAGTAAAAAGAAAGAAGCAAAAAGACACTCCTGAGAGAGCTCATTGCCTGTAGTGGTAATGCTGGCTCTCTCTGACCTCGGGTTATGGGAGATCCTGTTGCTGGGACTGACAGGAGTCCTGGCCCACCACTAAGCCCACATATTGGCAGGGAGGTTCTGACCATGCAAGGTTTTGAGACAGAAGGATCAGGGTATCCAAAGTCCATTGTGTGTATGTGTGTACAGATGAGGCTGGACACAGGCCAGTCTTGTCATTTTGGTTTTGTGCATGCCTGGGGTTCCTGGGGAACAGGGTGACCTTTATCTGTTGGTTTCCTGATGTTTTTGATGTCATCATCCTTGGTTGGTTTGGTTTTTCAACTCTTGCCCCAGGGCTTCCTGTTGTTCACTTGTCCTTGCTCTACCTCCTATCTCACCCTGATGGCCTCTGTGGCTGCACATAAGGCCCACTCCCCTGGACTTCACTGCCTGTGAGAAGTGGAGGGCTAGTGGGGGATGTGGCTGTGCTCTGGCTTGAGAACCAGAAGCTGAGGCCCAGTGTGGCCCATAAATGGGGAGATGATGCCTAAGGCCCAGCAGACTGTCCAGGGCACTGAGAGGAGGTGGCGTGGATGGGGAACACAGACCACTGCAGACAGCTTAACTGCCTGAGACTCAGTGGTGTGCCAGGATTTGTCAGGTACAAAGGATAAGCAGGGATGAGAGGACACAATCCCTTGAGTGGGCCTTTGGGTACCTGAGGTGGTCTAGATGAGGTCTGCTAAGGTGGGCGAGGATGAGAGTCTCTTGGGAGTCTGACGGGGATAGGTATGATGAGATGGTCTAGGAAGGGATATGCTCAAGTGGGCTAGGATAGATATGGTGAGGTGGATTAGGTTGGGTCACCTGAGTGGTCTAGAATGGAGTTACCTGAAGTGAGGGTTAGGATGGGTTGCCTGATATGGTCTACAATAGGGTCACCTGAGGTGATCTAGGATGGAGTCTACTAAGGTGGACTAGGATGGGGTCACCTGAGGTGGTTCTGGCTGGGGTTTCCTGGGGAGAGTTAAGATGGCTCATGTGAGATTGTTTAGGATGGATCTCCTGAGGAGGGGTAGGATGGGGTCTCTTGAGGTGATGTGGGTTAGGAAGTGGAATAGGATGGGTCACCTGGAGTCTACAATGGAGGTTTACTGAGGTAACCTTGGATAGACTCCTTGGATTGTTTCCTGGGGTGAGAAAGGATAGGATGATTCGCCTGAGTGGCCTAGAATGGGGTTTCCTGAAGTGATCGGGATGATCTTCTGAGGAGGGCTAGGATGGGGTTTCCTGAGTGGATTAGAATGAGGTCTTCTGAGGTAGTCTATATATAATGAGGTGAGGAGGGTTAGGATGGGTCTCCCGAGATGGGCTAGGATGACTCACCTGAGGTGGTCTATGATGGGTCACCTCAAGTGGGCTAAGATGGGGTTTCCTAAGGTGGTCTGGAATGGGTCCCCTAAGGTGAGGTGGGGTACAGTGGGGGCTCCAGAAGGGGTGTAACATGGGTTACTGGAGGTGGTCCTAAATGGAGTCTCTTTAGGTGAGGTTAGGATAGGTCAACTGAGTGAGTGATCTAGCATGTGGTCTCCTTAGGTGAGGTGGGCTAAGATGGTGTAACCTGATGTAAGGAGGGTTAGGATGGGTCACTTGAATGGTCTAGAATGGGGCCTCCTGAGGTGGGGTAGGATATGGTCACCTGAGGTGAGGTGGACTAGGATGGAGTCTCCTGGCAAGGGTAAGTATGGGGTCACCTGCGGAGATCTAGGATGGGTTATCCTGAGGTGAGGAGCATTAGGATGGGTCACCTGGGTCGTCTAGAATGGGGTTTCCTGAGATGGGCTGGGATGAGGCTCTCGAGGTGAGGAAGGGGTACGATAGGTCACCTGAGGTGGTCTAGGTTGGAGTCACCTCAAGGTGGTCAGGATGGAATCTCCTGACAATGAGCTAGGATGGGATCTCTCTCAGATGGGATGGACTAGAATGGGTCTCCTGAGGTGGTCTAAGATGGGCTCACCTCAGGTGGGGTCCTAGATAAATCTAGGATAGGTATCCCAGATAAATCTAGGATAGGTATCCCAAGGTGTTCTAGGATGGGTTTCTTGAAATGGGCTAAAATGGAGACTCAGTGCCTTTCTTCCAGGAACCTGAGCCAAACTCTGCCAGCTCTCCAGTCCTTGGACCCAGCCACAGGCAAGTGTGACAGAGATAGCCACGGCCAGTGACCTGCATGTGTAAGGCCATGACAGCACTTCCAGAAATGGGAGGGCAGGGGTCCTGTGCCCTGAAGTTGCTCGCTAATGTCTCATAAGAGGGGGATTGGAGGGTAGCACAATGTCCCAGGGAACCCCTCATCCGGGCACCTGGCCCATTGCCTGAATTATGCCTGCCCTTTGCCCAGGCTGTGATCAAGACCACCTGTCCTTCAACCTCTGTAACTTCCTGTTCATCATGGGCCACTGTAAGCTGCCCACTGTTCGTGTCACCTGTCTGGCCATGAAGGCCTGTCCCATGGCCACCAGCGGGTAGCCCACCACTGACCAGGATGGGAAGAACACACAGACCTCAGTGCCACCCCTCATGCCCCATGGTGCTAACCCCACCCGCCCCAGGGCAGGCAGGGACCCCTTCCCTCAGGAAAGGTTTTATTATTATTATTATTATTGTAAAGGTTTGTGTGACATTTGTTACTGTTTTACATAAATATCTACTGTTCCAAAGCACAGCTGGACTTATCTTGGATCAGAGAACCTTAAGAATCTTACCCTCCATCCTTCGCCAATTCTCCTTATCTTGGACCCTCTGTGACCTCAGGTGTGCTTCTGTTTCTGAGCAGAATGGCACTGAAGGTGGACATGGAGGCCATCAGGGCTGAGGTGGATCTGGGGAATCTGTTGCAGAAAACTGGGCATGGGGTAGGGTACAACTGGTAAAGGGGTATGGTCTGGTTCCATCCACACCGTTTACTTGGTGTCCACCTCCCAGCCCTCCCGGGCCCCACTCAGGCCACCTCCCAGGCCTCCCAGGGCCCCACTTAGGCCCCCAGAAACCTGTTTCACAGAGTAGAGCCATACACACTCCAAGATGCAGAGCCCCTTGTCATCTTCAGGGGATGCTTCAGCCTCTTTGGCTCTGCTAACACAGTGTGGGGAGAGGGAGCAGCCTGGACCTCCTTTCTCCTCCTGGTCCTTACCATCCCATTCCTTCATCTCCTCACTGCTCGAGGTTGGGGTTGGGGTTGGCTGTGGCCCCTTCCCCACTGCCAGCTCTAGGCACTAGCCTTCACCACTTGTGGCCCAGTGGCATGGCAACCACCTCCTCCCAGTGGTAAAACCTCGTTCTGTGGAACCAGGCTAAGGTGTATACATACCAGGGAGCAACTGGGCATGAAGGCACTCAGGCAGAGAGGACTGGACACTGTCCTCCTAGGCCCTTCCCTCTGGCTACAACCTTGGGACCTTCACCTCTTTTTTAAATCTCCTCCTGGAAGGTGTTAGGTCACTTCTCTAAGTTTGGGGGGATACTGTCACACTCTATTCTCCAGTGTACACCCCCAGACTGTCAGCATGTGGGCCTTGTGGCATCAGGGCTGGGAGGGGCACAATGGGAACCACTCAATGGGGACCGAGACCATGGAACCATATCCAAGGGAAGAATAACCAGCACATCTATGCCAGAAAGGTGGGGAGTGTGGGCACAGGGCACTGCTCAGGTGTAGTGAAGTTGTATACCTGCTGTTCCCTGCCACCTTGCCCACCTGATCCTAAACATTCCCTATTCCGGGTGAGAACCCAGGCACATACCCAGGTAGCACAGGCCAGATGGAGACCCCAAATCTCTATCTCCTCTTTTGAGCACTGGGTACCCTCCACCGTGCCCCCTTTGTACCAGGAAGGACCCCACAGTGGCAGGAAGTTGTCTGAGGTCTGTCAGGAAGGCATCAGACCTGCCTCCTGTCTGTCTTTGTGAGGAGGTCCTGGGTACCCACACTGAGTAATAACATCTCGTCTTCATCAGGCAGCAGACTTCACAAGGATGGGATCTGGGGCAGGCATGCGGGTATGCTGCTGGGGTCCCCAGAACAGCTCTGCCATTGCTGTTGTACAGTGTAATCGTGGGTTCCCCAGAGAGCAGCTTATGGTACTGGCCCGCCTTGTGCACATCCTTGCTAGGGCCACACCACCACCCCACTCTGTGGAAAGACATGTGGTCTCAATCCTTATGTTTTTCCAGTGATGGCGAGGTGTCCTTACAGTGGCGGCTGGGCCAGGAGGCAAACAGGCCTGGACAGGTGGTGGGAGGGCACCTGTCTGCAGGGGCTTCTCTGGGAAGTGTCTAGATCTTAGCTCCCACCACTGTCCTCACACCCAGCCACGGCTCTTACGGCCACCTATGGCCACCAGTGCTGGTAGAGTATCCTGTCCCAGCCTCCCCACTGGAATGAAGGGCAGAGATGCCCAGAGTCAATGGCCAGATCAGCAGGTGAACTCCTCTGCCCTTGCGATGGGCTCAAGCAGAACGTTACATAAAGGAGTTTATTTTAACCTGAAGATCAGTACAGAAGCTGCTGTCATATCAAAGGGCAGTCACCTGGCAGCGCCCCTCACATCCTCCTGCTGTCCAACAGTGAAATGCTCAGCACCCACACTAGGCTTCCTACCCACCTGCGCCTCCCAGCAGGTCCAACTGTACGGAAAGAGCACTGTATACAAGGCAGGCTCATGCAACAATGTAGACACTTCCTAAGGAAAACCTGACTGGGGTTTGCCTAGGGTGCTTCCTATGGTCAATGTAACAGCGGAAACCAGTGTTTCCTACAATCCGAAGTCCTGGCTGCCACTGTACAGCTGTCAGCATGATGATACAGCACCCAAACTACCAGGAAAGGAGGGTGGGGATGTAGTCTGCACAGACACTGGGCTGGCTGGAGGTAAAGATGGCGTAGAGGGAAGAGCAACTGGGAGGCTCAGGCTTACATAGATACACGCAAGGGGATCGTGCACACAAAATAGAACTTGTTATACAAAATAGATGTACGCAATCTAGAAAAACCTTGATAAAATAGCCTACAAAAATATAACTGTAGTAAAAATATACAAAAGTATCAACAGGTTCAACCCATTAAAGAAAAAAAAAATTAACTGGGCCGGGGAATTAGCTCAGTGGTTCCAGCACTTGCTTCACAAGAGCAAGGACCCGAGTTCGATCCCTGGTACCAAAAAAAAACCAAAAAACTGCCAAGTTGGCAACTCCTCTAGCCCTGGCACATGCATATGTGGCTAGCAGATGGACACAGTAAGATTAGCAGTGTGCACCAGCCTTGGCCAGAAGGTACACAGGCAGCTGATGGAGGGGCCTGAAGGGTGCCAGGGACAGGAGCGGTATCTCCGCTGTGGGAGAGGACAGCATGAGAAGTGTCAATGCAAAACGGGATTTGGTCTGTCCTGTCTCCAGCCTGGAACCTGGCAAACACCTCCCCAACCCTCACCCCTGCCAGTGCCAGCTCCAGACACTCAGCACACTTTTCCAGGGAGGACCTCTAGAAGGCTCCATCTCCAGATCACTCTGCTCTCACACTGCCTGGCCACAGAGCAGCCCCAGCTGTGTAGGCACTGTGACGATGCATCTCTCCCAAGCATGCTGGACCAGAAAGCTCAGTCCTGAGGGGCTACTCTTGGCTCCTGAACATAGCAGCTTGGGCTGGCACCTTGTATGGGAAACTGACTTGGAAACTAGAAACTGAGAGCAGCTGGAGCTGACCCCAGACACACACACACACACACACACACCCTTGTCCCCTGCACCTTCTCAGCAGCTGTCCCTGGCTGACAGCCGTCACTTCTGGTGGGAGGTGGGGTGGGGTCTGTCAGCAGGTGGCCCATACCTGAGAACAGTGGGTGATTGTGGCTCCCCCTTCACATGCTGCTTTCTAAAGCCAGGCCTCAAAAACCAACTGCAAAGACGTACAATGGCAAGACATGTTTCTGATACCTGAAGAGAAAAGTGGCTGAATAGAGACACCAGCTCCCCCAAAGACAAAATCCAAGTTCAGCCTAGTGTACTGAAGTACCAATTAAACCATGAAACCACTAGAAAGCTGACAGAAAAAAAACAAAAAAAGGAAAACTCCTTACCAGAGCATTTCTTGAAACTGCATTGCCTCAATTCTTAGTCCAATTGTGTTTATATCAACTAGAGAGCATTTCCTTTTTTTTTTTTTTCAGGTAGTGTAAAATACTCCATGTAAGACTGTTTTTCTTGTGTTGAGTAATACTGTGCCAGGAAACATTCACTCACAGCACCCACACTTCAAGGATGGTCCTAAGGGGTTCAACAAAAATAGCCAGGACCTGCCTGGCAGCCTGCCACGTCAGAGGCCACATGGACCCCCCACATCTTCACCAAGGACAAGGCTGTCTGGCAGCCAGGGTGGAGCTGGGTGAGAGCTCCCATGAGGCCTGATCTCAGCAAAGGTACTGCCAACTTCAGTGCAGGAAGACATGGGAGCATCGGCTACCGTGGAACCTATGGTGGCTGCTGGGCAAGTTTGCCCAGCAGCTGTGCAGCCACCCGCAAAGAACCCTGAAGCTGCTTCTGCACCCTCACCAGGGCCAGGCAATTCACCTGAAATCCTACCCCAAGCAAACATGGAGAATGGCTTCCATAAGTCACCTCCCAGATGAAAAGTTTTCCACAAACACTTGCAGTGAGGTGCTAGGCACAGGGCAAGCTGGGGCAGAACCATCAGCCACTTGCAAACACACATGGGGCTGGTGCAGGACCAGGGCCCCCATGTGGTGGGGAACCACTAGTGAATGGCTGTGCATGGGAGGACAGAGGAAGGCTCCTGGGCTTCCAGCGGAGGCTGCTCCAGAACAAGGTGTGCTTTCTTTTTAAGGAAGCCCCTCTGCACACTGACCTCACCCCATGGGAACAGCCACACTCTGAAGCACACTCCAAGTGCTGCCATTTAAGACGCGCGCACACGCGCGCACACACACACACACACACACACACACACACACACACAGCTGCCCACTATATACAAGAGGAGTAACAACATGGGAAGTGCCCACTGAGGCCGGTTTTCATGGGGTGGAGACCAACCCAGCTGGCATAATCTGTAAACAGGCTCTCGGAGACAACCAGCTGATAAGTGCAGTGATTCACCAATCAGGCAGAAAGCAGGACTGCGACACATGTGAACAAATGCTACAGCACGGCGCTGGCTGTAAACAGAGCAGACCTCTCTCCAGCCCCAAGTGGGAAATAAGAAAGTGCAGTCTGGCTCTGGACATCTGCCCCGCAGAGTCCCAGAGACCATAAATGTTGCACCTGGGCATTAAATGAGCAGGGACCCCTGCAGTCCCCTTGGACATACTTTGGTTACCACAGCACAAAACAGTATCTTAGGCGTCACTCAGGCATCCTCCTCCTCATCGCTGACCAGCCCACCCTTGTCAGGGCCAGGCTCCCGCTCACGCAGGAAGTCCTCACGGATGGCCTCCAGCTCAGTCAGTTCCTGCCGCACCTTCTCCAGGTGATAGGCACGTCGGTTCCGGATCTGGCGCAGGGGGAAGGGGTTCAGGTCCACAAAGGAGATGTTGATCAGCTTCCTGGTGTGATGGAGGGCACAGAAAGGGGTCAGTGAGGCTCTATGGGTGCTCTTTAAGCCCTCATGGCAGCAAAGCCCGGGGCCAGGTAAAAGGGACACACTGTGCTAGGGGCCTGGGTAGGAGGACTGGCCTCCTCCCACAGAGGAGCAGGGTGTTAGAGAGGACAGCTCTGAATCCTGGCCAAGCACAAACTCTGGTTCTGCTACACCTGTTTTTTGGGCTGATTCCCCATCAGCACATTAGGAACACTGGGCGTGCCTGCCCAGAGCATGGGGGCTCCTAAGAGCAGTGCCCCATGCTTATTCCATATCCGTGGTTGCTGGTGGATGCGAGTCCTTGGGGTCAGTTCCAGGCTGGATTGACTGACTGGGCATGGTGGATACCTGAGCAAACCAGCAATGACAATCAAGAGTCAACTAGCAAGGTGACAAGGTCAACAGTCTACAAAGACCTGTGTGGCATGAGGGTTTCTATTACCCCTGGGCCAAGGAACAAAATTTTCAGTAAGTTACAAAATTGTGACTTGCCTTTAACCATTGCCTAGCTGTCTGGTAAAGACTGAACTAAGACTTGTCCCAACCTGCTGTTGCTCCCAGCCTGCAGGCCAGTCACTTCTCCTGGGCACAGGAGGAACTGGCTTCCTGAGTAGAGGTGCATACCCTGCCTGCCAACTGAAGTCCTGACACACATGCAGCCCAGGAGGGCTGGATCAGAGCAGCACCCCTGCCATCACCCAGCCATGTGGGCTGTATTTAGCCTGGTATGCAAAGTACAGAGGCATAAGCCTTAGAACTCCTCCACTTTTACCCCTACTTCTCAGGCATGCCTGATGAACCCCAAGGACTCAGACAAGTCCTCCACTTTTACCCCTACTTCTCAGGCATGCCTGATGAACCCCAAGGACTCAGGCAAGAAAGGCCAGCTCTGTTCAATGCCAAACTCCTGGTGTTCTAGGACAGATAAGCCCCAGAGATGAGGGGAGCCCTGAGCAAGGGATGCTGTATGCAAACTGCCAGGGACCAGGTCCTGGAAGCCCACACACCATCTCTCCCTCCTGTAGCTGTGAGCCACAAACCCAAGACCTAGGCATCTTCCCCTTTGCTACAGAAAGTGAGCACTGGGAATGTAAAGCTAACACTTCCACTCACTCCTTGGTAGGGAAACCGACTGGCCCATCAGCCCAGGAGCAGTACAAGGAGACCCAGATTCTACCCTGCAAAGCTCAGCTCCTCTGGGCACCCAGGGTCCTTACCTCAGAGACCATTTCAACCTGTATCACCCTACATCCCCTAGATGCACCTGGCTGTAGAAGCCCCTCCTTCTTGTCCTGTGAGACCCATCCATGTGCTACAGAACTGGTGCACTCTGGAATCATTCTTGTGTGGGCTTATTAAACATCAGGGCTTCCATGCAGAGGAGCCTGAACAGCTGCAGTTTTAACAGCACTACCCCCTACCACCACCTCTTGTAATCCTTCCAGTGAACATTCAAGGCCACTTGACCGTCTGGACCTTCTAAACCAAACTGCTCACAAGGTGGCGCTGCAGGACCATGCACAGCTTGGCTACTGCCCAGCCCCGATGTGCATTTACAGGAGAAGCTGGCAGGTTGGGCAGGCTCCATCTCTGAACCAAAGGCTTTTAACACAGGCTTAGCTGTTGGCCTGAAGGAGCCCATCCAGGGTCTTTCTTGACAGTATGAGTTAGCAGAAAGCTCTCAAGGCTCCAAAGGACCTGGCATTGCTCAAGGGCAAGTGTGACCCTCAGATATCCTCTGGGCAGAGATCAAGTCCCTGTTGTGCGTGTCAGTGTTCATCCCGTCAGCCTGAAGTGAAAAACACCAAAAAGGTGAGGGTACCAGACAGCCTGTGCAGCATCCACTGGCTTCTTCTGCTGCCAACAAACATACCAGCTGTGGTCCAGAGGACACAGGGAGCCCAGGACAGAAATATGGGGAATAAAATGATTCAGAATGCTTAGCTGCCCAAGCCAGAGCCTGGGTTCTTCCAGATTCAGACCCACTCTCCTCAGCTCTCCAGCTCTGGGCCACTTGTCTCCAAAGCCATCTCCTCTCCTGCTGAGACTCCTCTTAGAGCCATCATCCCTGGTCATCATCCATTGGCCAGTCCTATGCCAGTGCACCCTGTCCTTCTCTTGCCTAATCCTGTGAAAACTGCCAGCATTCTTAGTGCTAGGAAGCTTGCAAGAGCCGAGACAGCCCAGCTCTGCTGTGGCCAGCTACACACTCCAACAGACTAGTGACCTGGCTAGTCCACTTCCACAGGACCCCAAGCACTTGTTCCCATACCTCTGCATGCTGCCCCAGCTCTGCCTAGTGTCTCCCCTCATTGCCCTTCCTAGCCTGGGTCCCGGGCCTGAGCCTCGTGGTCATAGCACCATGAGATAGGGCCTGCTTTCCCCACCACTGAACTCCATCCAGCAACCCATGCCTGGCATTGGCCCCGCCTGTAGCAGACACTCAGCAAACAGCTGTAGACATGCAGACCATGGCTTTTGCTTGTTGGGATTCACACTTGCTGGATGAAGGATAAAACCAATTTCATCTCAGTTCCCCTCTAATCTCTGAAAGTCACACCCCTTCCTGTTTCTTCTCTCTGGAAGGAAACTCCCTCTCCCACACAGCACCCCGAGGTGGCCCTGAGTCTAACAACAGCAGATTCAGAGGTGGGACTTCCTATTCCCCTGGTCTCTGGGGGAAGCGAGAGCATATCCCTAGGACTCACCGAGCATCAAGAATAGTGCGAGTGAAGTAGCGGAGATACTTGAATATAGACATTGAGTCCTGCAATTTCAGGATCTCCTCTTCCTTGTATTTAAAAACTGCCAGGGCAAAACGGAAAATAACCTGTAGGAAGGGCAGGAAAGCATGAGTGAAGACACACGCTTGAGAACGGAAACCCTGAGGAAGCACCCTAAATGGGCCCTGCCCCAACTGTGCACACTGGACCTGGGGGCTGATTCCTGCTGGCCAGGAAAGCCTTCGCACCGGAAAGTAAACTCTCATTGTGTCAACAATTAGCCCCAACCAAGTCGCCTGTGAAGCAAGTAGATGTGGAATCTTAAGCTCAGCTAATAATTCTAGTCAATACAGAATACGGAGCTAGAAATCTTGTTTATTTGCTTGTTTGCTTGGGGCACTGGGGATTGAACCCAGGATCTCACCATGAGCTACATCCCCAGCCCATTTTCTTATTTCTTGAGAAGGTCTCATATCTTGCCAGGCTTCATATTACTGGGATTACAGGTGTGGGCCACCCACTGTACCTTTTGGAAAGAAATCATTTGTACCACTGGTGGTACAAACAGATCTAATCACTTTTATCAGGCTTTTTACTAATAAAGTTAATAAGCCACCCAATGGGACAGTCATGCATGTACCACAGGTGCTTCAAGCCTCCCAGCAGTGAGACATACAAATTACAGCCCGGTGGTGAACATGTTAAGTAAACTCAAAACAGATTTTTTTTATTCGGAAAGCTTCACAACCAGAGGTCATTCCCATCTCAACTGCCTTAACTGCTGACTTCTGAGTATGAAGAAAGAGAATCCACGTTTTAGAGGATTCTGGAGGGTCCCATATTTGAGGCTGGGGGTGTGGACTGCTGGTGATCTTGGAGATTAAAGTAGCTTTGGAAAAAAACTCTTTTCTCATATCTAAGGGCTGTGGCTGCCTGCACCAGCCTGCTCTTCTCATATTTAGAAAAGAGTATTACAGGGGTCTCCTCACTTCCCTGTGTGTGGCCTGATTCCTACACCATTTCTACCCTCACTGAGAAATCCTTGCAGTAATAGCAGACCAGGTCATCAGGTTGTGATGCCCTGTTTCAGACAAAAGTCTGAGTATCTGTGACCCCACACCCTTGGCCCAGCACCTCTACCTACAGGTGCACCTGCACAGATGGATGAAGACAGTAGTCTCCAAGAGTCAGCACAGCACAGTCAGAAGTGGCATGAAACTGTCCATCCTGGGGCTGTTGTGTACATGTCTGGCTCATCTGTACAAGAAAATGCTGTACAGAATTACAAAACATGTATGTGTTAGGCCCGGATACCCAGATGTGGAACTGCCTCTAAGATATACCAAGTTAAAAACATATGTAAGCTACACAGTGAATACTTACAGGTGGATATATAAGACATGGAGAAGAACAACTAGGACACTGGGGGAGGGGGACTGCTCCTTTCCACTATCTACCCTTAGTTTTTGGTAAGTAGTATATTTACATACTAAAACATCTAAGTTTTTTAAAACACACAACAGGATAGGGGGAGGCTCATGGGCAGTGAGACTGTGATAATGGCTCCGCATCCTCTATGATCAGTTCTCTGTGCCTCCAACTCCTCAACCACACAAGGTGGATAGTGCTAACAGCCATTCTACAAATGCTGAGGCTCAGATTACAAACCATCCAAGCTCCCAGGCCTCAGATGGGGCTCAGTACTGTTGTTTTTGTTCTATTTTGCAGTGCTGGGGATGGAACCCAAGCCCCATGCAAGCTAGGTAAGCACTCTGTCCCTGGGCCACATCCCCACGCCAGACTGAGCACTACTAATGGATAAGCAGCTGGTGCTTATCCATGGTGCTATGGGAGGCGGTCACTCAGCCCTGCTAACTGCTTGTCCGCCATCAAGAGTATAACTGAGAACACGAGAATCAAGCACACCCACCTTTGGTCCCTCATACAGGAAAGAGTCCCATATCTTAAAGAGGATGTCACTAACCACGCTGTCCACAAACACCACCAGGAACCAGTTGAATGTGATGAGAGTATAGTCAACTTTGTACTGTTCAAAGTGGGCATGCAATCGAGGCAGCTTCTCATTCATGAGGTCTCTGAACACCCGCTGGTCCACCTGATGGAACAGAGGGGAGAAAGGTCAGAGTCAGCACTGCGCAGGCACACAAGGCCAGCCCCTGAGACTGACAGCAGAGGATGCAGTCATGGGGACTACGGCCACATGGCTGTCCCAAACCCACTGTGGGGACTGTCATCACAGGGCCAGGCTGCTTTGTGTCTCAGAGGCAACATAATGAGTGCTCCAGATGCGCATCCGACAACCAGGGCCTAGGGAAAGTGGAACACACTGATGTTGAAACCAAGGGCCAAAAGCCTGTGCCCTGGGCAGATGTAGCAAAGCGAGTCTTGAGCTAAAGAAGAAGTGTGACATTACCTACTCTCCCATATGACACACATTTACCAAGGTGAGGGGAATGAGAGGAGCAAGGACTCTAGACTGAGGGACCCATGTGGAGGTCTCAGCTCCACTACCACCAGCTAGGCACTTTCAGCAAGGGGTTTTACACCCCTTTCCATCTGGAAGATGGCTGTTGTGAGGCTCATATGAGGCTCACATGAACTACCTGCTGCACACACACCAGGCAAGGCGACTGCCGGAAACAGGATAGCACAGGTACAACCTGACCTCAAGGATACAGAAGGTTAGGAGGTAGACATATGAACTGGCACACTCACTATGGCAAGTCCTGTAAAGATTTCTCATGGAGAAGAGACAGCACCCACTACCCAAGCTCAGGCTTCCGGACAGCAGGGTGAAGATGAGGTGGCACCACCTGGCAGAAGCCAGTCACAGAGGCTGCCATGTCACACAGCAGGGTCAAGACTTTGTCCTGTATACCACAAGCTTTCTGTGGCCCACACAAAAACAGCCAGCTTCATCTGTGGCTCAGTCAACACTATCCATGTGTACATGTACAATAGGAACAAAAGTCACAAGAAACAGTACTTACCCCATACAGCAGACTCACATCTTGATTCCCATCTGCTCAACTTTAGAGGAAACACTAGTCCCTGAACCACTTTCTCTACCCAGGTTATAAGATGCAAGAAGCATGGAGCAATGTCTCACAGTTGTAAGCACGCAGGGTCTCACAACTGGAAGCATTCTGACTAGTGTGGGGCAGAAAGGCTGGCCAGAGAGCTCAGGGGGATCCCTTCCTGGCCAGGCACAGGCAGGGAATCTGAGACCATGGAGGGCAGTGGGATGGAAGAGGGCACAAGGATTCATGACTGTGGAGAGAAAAATCTTCAGAACCTAAAACCTCCATGCTGAGAGAGGTAAGGAGAGGTGCTCCGTGTTCCTTGGCTTCTGACCCTAGACATGGCAGGGCAGAAGTATGGAACCAAGGCCAGACCAGGGAGAGTGGCGTATACAGGTGCCATGGGAGACTACACTGAAGCTCCAGGGGAGGCCTGGACTCAGAGGAAGAGCCATACAGGGGTGAGACATCTGCAAGAAAAACAAGGGAGTAGCAAGGGCCCAGGGCACAGGGCAAAGCCAGTTGCTAGGGGTCAAAGCAGGGGTGACAGCAGCCAGCTCCATTGAAGGACCCTGCAGTGTTTTATGAACCATCATGTGCCATGACCACAGTGCAGCATATCCTTTCGCAGGCTACCAACAGGGACAAACTAGACAGCCACTATGGCAACCTGCCAGCACCTAGAACTAGGAAAATGCTCACCCTCACACACAGTAAAACTACTCCTAGCAGGATATCATCCCCAAACTTCATTAAGTTAGAGCAACAGGTGTGGTCATTCTTGGGGTTCCTGGAATACTAAAAAAACTAGAAACAATATTCAGGCTGTCCAACTCAAGCCTGCGAGGTATACACACATGGGAAAATGCACTGTTTTGGGCCATGTATAAAATGTGTAGTGTACAGAAGTCACAAAACTGAGCACTGCAGGCTGGACACACCTGATTGAGAGAAATGAATTTTTCTTTAAAATAAGTTTCAAAAATCAAAAATGCTTCTGTTTTTTTTGTTTTTAAAAAGTACAATTACACAGGTTCCAGTAGGAACTGCTGGTTAAAATTTTTTAAATGTAAAAGGCAATGTAACTTACAAAGCTAAAAAGCACTAATATTTGTTCAAAAATGATATTTAAAAGTTATAAACATACCCCAGAGTAAAGGACCACAAAATATAAGAATTTGGGGTTGGAAATACACATTTTTGGCCAATTTGCTTTCTGACTAGAATAAGACACAAAATGTCCAAGATATGCATTGGCTGAAATGAATTATAATTAATTTTCTTAAACACTTAAAAAACAAAAGTATGGGGCCAGGGATTTAGCTCAGCGGTTCGGTGGCCTGCCTTGCAAGCACAAGGACCCAAGTTCAATCCCCGGTACCAAGAAAAAAAAAAAAAAA